CATGTGGGATCCGAACCCTCGGGCGGGAGCGCCGCCGCGCTTCCCAAGCGGCGCACTGTCCAGTGCGCCACCCGGCCGGCCCCGTTTTCTTTTTTTTTTTTAAAGATGGCCGGTAAGGGGATCTTAACCCTTGACTTGGTGTTGTCAGCACCACGCTCAGCCAGTGAGCAAACCGGCCGTCCCTATATAGGATCCGAACCCATGGCCTTGGTGTTATCAGCACCACACTCTTCCGAGTGAGCCATGGGCCGGCCCACACATTAGAGTTTTAAGTTCTGATCTTTTTAACTCTTAAAAACCGTCTTTCCCATGGCCTGATACTTAACAGATTTAAGTCAAACATGTAGTGTATACATACAAACACCATCTGATTATTTTCCACTGTAATTAAGTACCATAGACACTTTATTTCTCATGAGGCTTTATTTCAGGCTCTTTGAGGGAAAGATGTTTACAGCTCTACAGTGATAGAACTTAGGCACGTTTCTTATTAATAGAAACCTGCATCTGCTAACTAGAAGAGAGACGGTATCTCCACATATCCTTAATCCCTGCAACTCTGAAAACCTAACTTTTCCATGTCCTGCTTCTTAACAGGTTTGTTCTTTTTACAGACTAAATTTTCTCCTGTAGAAATTGAAGTCATACTGCTTGGGTTCAGGTCCCAGCTCCACTACGTGCTTAATAGTTGTGTAACCTGGAAGGGTCTTAGCAGCGTTGTGTCTGTTTCCTTATCTGTAAAATGGAAATAATAATAGTATATACCTTATAGGGTTATTGGGAGGATTAAATGAATAATTCATGTTAAGTAATTAGAAGAGTGTCTGGCACGTAAATGTTTGTTGTTGTTGTCAGAGCACTTGATAAAATGGGCAGCAATTATCATAATTACTGGTTGTCATATTTAACTGCAAGTAATACAGGTGCTTATGTTGTTATTGTGTTATGAGAAAGATCACTCCCAGTTTTGGAATTCATATACAGATGGTCCATGACTTATGATGGTTCAGCTTTGTGATTTTTCTACTTTACACTGGTGCAAAAGTGATATGCATTCAGTAGAGCATCAATAAATTACATGAGACATTCAACACTTTATTATAAAATAGGCTCTGTGTTAGATGATTTTGCCTAACTATAGGTTAATGTCAGTGTTCTGAGCATGTTTAAGGTAGGCTAGGCTAAGCTGTGATGTTCGGTAAATTAGGTATATTAAATGCATTTTTTTTTCTTTTTTTTTGTCTTTTTTCGTGTCCGGCAACGGATCGCAACCCTCAGCGTCGCGCCCGCACCGGGCCGGGACCGGCAACGGGATCGCAACCCTCGGCGCTGCGCCCGCACCTCGCTCAGCCAGTGAGCGGAACCGGTCTGCATGTGGGATCTGAACCCTCGGCGGGAGCGTCGCCGCGCTCCCAAGCAGCGCACTGTAGCAGTGTGCCACCGGGCCGGCCCCATAAAATGCATTTTTGACTTACAGTATTTTCAACTTACGATGGGTTTATTGGGATCTAACCCTATCGTAAGTCAAGGAGCATCTGTACTTTTAGATACCAAATTTTCCAAACCCCTCATTTTATGGAAGAGGAAACAGATTCAGAGGGGTGGAGTAGTTTTACCTAGAGTTGTGCAGAGTCAGAGACAGCTAGTAGTTGAACTCAGATGCCCAACAGATTTGGCTAGAAGACTTTACACCAAATTGAGAACGACAGTTCATCTGAGCTCGTTCTTCGCAACAAGGAACTAGAGTCCTTGTCATGACACTCTGCTTAGCTTCCTTGTGTTCACTGAAGTTGAGTTTCATATTTTGTGAATGGAGAGTAGTACTAAAACTTGAATGATATCTCTTTCTTCTAGGTTGCCAGCATACTTTGTTGTCCCCACCCCTCTGCCTGAAGAGAATGTGCAACGCTTTCAGGGTCACGGCATACCAGTGAGTGCATCTGGAAACCCTAAGAGGCATTGTCCACCTAGCAGAATGATCCTACTTAAAGCCCTTGGCTTTGGTACTAAAGAGCTTGTCCTCAGTCCAAGAGTAATCTAGAAATATCTTAGGGACTCCCTAGAGGAGTCTCTTACACATGAGG